AAGTGAAAAGGTGAATATAGTGCAGTAAGATATTTTGAGAGAGACCATGTACATATAACTTTTATTATAATATATTGTTATAATTGTTCTATTTCATTATTGTTGTTGTTAATCTCTTATTCTGCCTAACTTATAAATTAAACTTATAGGCATGTATGTATAGGAAAAACATAGTACGTGTAGGGTTTGGTACTATCCACGGCATTTTCAGGCATCCACTTGGAACGTATCACCCTCAGATAAGGGGAGACTACTGTACTTTCTTTGGGAGGAGCAAGCCCAGGGCAATGAGGGTGAAGAAAAGGAAAGTAAGGCCAGAAAAGGTGGAATGGAATGCGTGATGGGTCAGTGTGCTGGCTACAGCTTCACAAGCCTCAGTGAGACTCAGCAGATCATTCAGCACTCTTTGACTGTGTCCAGAGGGCTCTGCAAGAAGGAACAGTCTAAAGAGATGGGAAGCCCATGTTTCCCACTGGGCAAGATTCACCCTGGGAAACAAAAGTACCCATGCTTTGGGGTTCACCACCAAGCTCCTTGGTGACTGGATCCATGTCTTGTGACGTGGTATTTTATCCAACTCTAAAAGTTGAGAGTGGCCCAATGTTGGAGGTGTGTAGGCCAAGAGCAATAAAGCAGATCGCTGAGGGTAGCAAAGATTTGCACCCTCAGAAGCTTTTCTGGTTGCATTCCAAAATTACTTTGAAGCCAGTAAAATTAAGGTAATGCATTCACTGCAGGTTAACACACTGTTTCTCCATCTGTGAAATGAGGGAGCTGACTGAGGATGCCCCTCCCCCCACAAGGCCCCCTACTCCAGTCCTGACTGTTCTTTGGGGAGGAAGGCAGCAGTTCACTCACACCTTCATCTTCTCCTGCCTGTGGCCACATTCCCACAAGCCATTCTCACAATGCAGCGCAGCCTAGGCCCAAAAGTTTAATTTACATTCCCCAGTACCACCTACTGTGCATCGGGGACCCAGCAGTGAATCAGACCCTGTCCGTCCTATTTGATTGATGATGATGATAATAATAATAGCTAACCCTATTACTATCTTTTATTGTAGCAGTGGCTTTATGTTTGACATATGAACATAAACATACACGCATGCATTTTGTTTAATCCTGACCACAACCTTGAAGATATGCATCACTTTCCCATTTTACAGATGGAGAAACTGAGCTTGGATATGCGCTCAAACTTGCCCAAGAGCACCAAAGAGGAGGAGGGGCCTGGTTGAGACTCAAAACACCTTAAGATTTCAATATCTATGAGTAAGCCAATTAAAGAATATGCCAGAGGGATGCCCATTGTTCCTTAACCATGCAGGTTTTCTCAATCTGCTATAAAGTGGTTTGTGGCCATTTAACCCACATACACTTCATGCTTCCTGCCTGGATATTTCTGTGTGATGGGAGTGCTCATCTGAAACAGCGCGGTCCCCTTTCCTCTCATCCGTGCAGCACAGCCAGCAAGCTCATTAGCTGAGTCTGGGCTCCCATAGCAGGTCATCATCTGGACAGAGCTCAGGGGAACGTAGAGTGGGGTCCTCTTATCCTTTGTCTGCACTTTTCTGCCCTCCTCCCTGGCGAGATGCTCCCTCCAGCAGCTGGCCCAGAGTATGTGGCCACTCCTGGAAAACTAAACCCATGCCACCCTGGGCTGGGGCCTGTGTGGTGTGAGAAGTGCCCCTTCCAAATTCTCTTTATCAGGAAGTATATGCCTGGAACACCACGGTCATTCCCCTCAAGGGAACAAACAAACATACTTAATAAGTAAAAACATTTTCTTTTCAGCCAAGAAGCTACTGTTCTAAATTTGCTAAAACGGGGTCAATATTTGGCTTAAATTCCCAGGATAAATATCAATATGGAGAAAACTTTTAAGTCTCTACAGACCAATGAAGGCAGACCATTGTATGTTGTGCAGGTGGGCAGTGAATTAGGGGTTTGAAAATGTTATCTTTCATTTGTTTAGAAGCAAAAGACACATTTTTAGACAGCATTTTCAAAAAGAGAAAAGTGGCACAGTGCACATATAAACTGAAAGAGATGATACAAATGATCGATGATAAATGTTCCATAACAAAGCTGTAACCCATTTGTTTAACAAGTTTTGCTAAGACGCAATGCCCTGTGAATGCTTCCCCCAAAGTGGAGATTCTCTCTAAGGAAGGGATGTGTGAGTCTCTTTGGCCTGTCCTACCCTCAGCATGTCCAGGTATCTGTGATGTAAGGACTGAAGTTGCTCAGGGAGGATGTTGTGAAGCTACTCTTCTCTTCCTGGGTCTGAGAGCAGAGCAGCTCACAAGGCCCTGCCCTCAGAAGGGCCCCGAACTTGGTTAAATGCACTGGGATGGAACTGAATTTTACCTTTGAAGTTGTGCCTCGTAAGTCAAGTCCAGTGGGGTAATAGAGCCCATGCCGGAGGCTTGGAGCCTCCTGCTCACAGCATGGTCCAGCCTCTTGTCACCTCTCTGCCTCCCTGGAACAAGTTCTTGGCTGCCGGCTCCCTCATCCTCCATTACATCAGCTCCACCTGGCCTCTTCCTCCTCCTCCTCACCCTGCAACCACTGGCCATCTTTCCCTTGATTGGAAGCAATAAGGCGCCTTCAGCAGGGCTACTTGGACAAGGCAAGCCTCTCTCCACTCATACCCAGGTTCTGAGCATCCTCGCTCGGATCCTGGGTCACAGGTTGGGACTGCGGGCCTGTGGAAATGTAAGATGCCTACTCCACTTCCTGTGGCACTTGTCTGGTGGCTGGCGAGAGGGACAACCTGGTAGTCAGTGGGCCCTATATGTGCTTGCCAAGTCTTGGGGCTTGCCCACCCCCATCTGTCAGAGTCTGCACTTGCCCTGTGAGTATCCCCGTGCTGGAAGAAGTGTGACATTACATAAATAAAAAGAACATTATGATGGATTGAGACAGAAATCATAGAAAAAAGGAAAAAGATTTCCTCTCCTTCTTGAACAAGGGACCCTGCGATTTCATTTTGCACTAGGCCTGGCAAATCATGTAGCCAATCCTGTCTCCAGTGTTGTGCTGAGCTAGCTCACTGGCTCCTGATTCCGCGTTCAGTTATGTCCTGTTTGAAGCTAGAAAGGGCCATGGCAAAAATATCAACACAGAAATCAGGCAGATACTACAAAACAGGACTTTTTTAAAGAGCTGGTTGTTAGACATTTACCGGAACATTATTGTACAGAGCACTAATAATGCTGAAAACTTCTTACTCTTGCTATTTTTATTGGCTAAACTGGGCAGGCCCAAACTTCTAGGGGACAGTGCAGAGCCATGGAAGAAAGGCTAGGGAAGAAAACAATTACTAAGTTCCAGACACTGACCCAAACCATGTCATTGCCATTTCAGAGATGAGGGAGCTAGCTCAGAGAGGTAACCTGACTCACCCAAGACCACAGAGCAAGCCAACTGCTGGGCTCGCATTTGGACCCAAAGTCCTAGCTCTTAGGGGAGCCTCTTTAGAACTACATATCTCTTGTCCCTGCTCAGTGCCAAGCACAGGGTTCTGAACTTCAGGAAAAAACTGGAACGATGGATTTCAGGAGGATTAGGCAGGAGGGGAGTTCAGGGAAGGACCCAGAAGTCCCAGCCCTGCACTTTGTCCTCTTCCAGGATCTTTACAGTCTGAGGCAGAAGCCTGGAAACCTGAAAGGGCCATGAGAAGCAGGACAGAACATTCTAGCAGTCACTGACTAAATCAGAGGCACAAATATTTGCTAGACATGCTGGCAGGGTTGGGGGCGGGGCAAGTGCATGGGGCCTCTCCCTCTGGGGCCAGTGAATCCAAGGGAGGGAGATACCGCTAGGAGAGGTCTTCCCTGACACCATTCTCTTTGTCACATTTGTATATGAGCCCCTCACACACTCAAGCATGTCAAGCCCAGTCACAAAGCATCTTCTCAGTCACGAGCAGAACAGGGAGCTGACCCCATTTTGTGGATGAGGAAACTGAGGCCCACAGAAAGAAGAAAACACACCCAAGAGCTGGGAAATGGGAGAACCTGAGGTGGAGGCAGAATCAGAAAGTTTAGCCCCAAAACCAACAGTGTCCCATCCTGCATCTGGTCTGCCACCACTACTCAAGAATTTCCCTTGACCCTCACTGACCTGGACTAGTTGCTAGTCCCCAACTGACCCCCAGACCCTCATCTCTGGCCAGACCTCTCGTACCCTTGCTTCTTACAGCTCTACCAGGCTGTTTTCTTCCCAGGAAACCTCCTTCTCTTCTTCTCAGCTCAGGGAGCCCCTCCTACTCTACACTCTGTCCAAATATAGACTCTCCTGCCTTGCCTAGCTCAGACCTGGCCTCCAAGTGCTCCTGTTCACGGGGCTCTGGCCTCTCAGGAGTTGGAGCATGAGAGACTTGGAAGCAGGGGCCTGGGTCCTAATTGCAGCTCTGTCACCAACTCGCTGGGTGACCTGGGGCTACCCTGCTCTCTCTGACTCTCAGATCTCTCATCTGGACTCAGCTTGCCTGCCTCACCAGGGCACTGAGAGTTTGGGAGGGAGAACCCTTGCAGTGGGCACAGGCCACAGCTGCTGGAGTTCTTGCTGGCATCAGCACTGCCCCAACCTTGGGCTCCATTCGGACTCATTGTCATCCAGCCACACTCTGTCTTGACTTCTGCCTCTCCCTTGGGGGTCCAAGGCCTGTGTCTGGCCTGGGAGCTCAGCTAGGGTGTATGCTGTGAGTGCAGGCACTCCTCTCCTTCACTGGCCCTAGTGGGCCAGGCCTGGGCATGGAGGGGGCTGAGAGCAGATGCAGTTAAGAGAGTTTGGAGGCCACATTAAGTCTCAGCCCCTAGGTAATTCTGCCCTTTAACCCTCCAGGGTGTTAACAACTTTTTCTAATCAAGAGCAAACTCTCCATGCAAGCAAATTAAGAAGGGCCCCTAGGAAATGCTGGAGTTTTTTCCCCTGAAGTAGACTTTTGGAGGGCCTAGAGAAGTGCTCCCCACGAGGCCTAGAATCAGACAGTGTCATGTCAACGTGCTCTCCATTGTACAGAGAAGGAAACTGAGACTACAGAGATGTGAGGACTTGCCACCACTGCAGTGCAGACGCTGGTACGTTCAGTTCCGAGGGCCCTTGTCTTGAAGCTGAGCGGGCATAGCAAGCTCCAGTTTTTTATTTGGTTCGAATGTTACTTTGAGTTGCTTTAGGGCTCAGGCCCTTTCGGAGTCACCCCTTGGCACCGCCACTGCTCCAGATCTTAGGCTGAAACAAGACCAATCCCCGCGGGAGCCGAGCGACCCGCCGGGGTTCTGTAACCGGGATCAAGACCCTTGGATCCCCCGGAGGACCTTATAGCGCGCCCTGAATTAGGGGTGGGAAGCTCCGGGGGCCGGGGCGGGGCGGCTGGGGCTCCACCCTCTTCACTTCCAGCTGCAGTAAACAGGCGGCAGCAGCCCTGGGGGTTTCTCCTGCAAGCCAGGTGCCGAGTTACATCAGGGTTCCCGGGAGCTTCCCGTCCCGGCGGTCCTCGCCTGCCGCCGTGGCCAAGGAGCAGAGGGCTGGCGACGCGCCTCCTTCCCCGGGCCGCCAGGACAGGAAGGCCTCCAAGTTTTCTCCAGAGGCTCCTGGGACTTGGTTGAAACCCGGTTCGGCTCGAGGGTGGGGGTTCTGCAGTGACCGCGTAGGAACTGCGCCTCGGTTTGTGAAACCAGGGCGCTGTGTTAGCTTTCTGTGCCTCCCAGTTAGGAAAATCGAGATCCGTTCTGAGCCGGGGGCAGCGGCGGCGGCGAGGCGGGCTGGGACCTCACTATGCGGTGATTCAGCACCTGCGCAGTACGATAAAGTAACCATATGTGGTTATTGGGCACTTGAAATGTCGTGTGAGGACCCCCTAGGAATTCCAGAGTTGGCATGAGATTATTTTAAGATGAAGACATTTGAGATGCAACAGATGTAGAAAAAGTCTCTTGGGATCTTCTCTTATCTGACTAAAAGCAGCAACTTCTGGGAAATGAGGCTGCCATGAATCCCCTCTCCAGTTTTACTGCCCTGAAGATGAGAGACCATTCATACCTATAGACAAATATTATCACAAACCTTATCTTCCAGATGGAAGGTTTAGAAAAGTCATTTGTCCTCCTAAAGAAATCTATTTGTTTTCCCATAGAAGTTATTTCTCCCCACTCTTTTCCTAACTTTAATCGTTTAACAAGGCAGCTACTTTCTTTGCTCCCATGTACATACGAAATACACTTTTCCCCCTGTTAATCTGTCTTTTGTCAGTTTAATTCGCAGTCCCCAGTAACTGAACCTAAAAGGAAAAGTTTCTTCCTCCTCTACAGTGGTTAGTCCTCATTGATATGTGCAAGTATATAATACACACAGGATTTCAAAGACTTAGCATGAGATGAAAGATATTAATAACTTCATAGATTGATTACATGTGAAACAATATTTTTGATAAATTGTATTAAAATATCTCATTAAAATTAATTTCACTTTTTTCTTTTTACTTTTTTGTGTCTACTAGAAAAATTTTTAAAAACATGTGGCTGGTATTATATTTCTATTGGATAGCTGTCAGCTGATCTTGTGTCTTCAGGTTTGCTTTTACCAGGTAACATCAATACAGCTTTATTAACTGAATGCTCTGTGCCAGGTCCTGACCAGCTTGGGCAGTCAGGGGTGGAGAAGGAGGAGGCACTGTGCCAGTCCTTGGGAAGCTGCCAAGCCCCTCTTGGCTCCCAGCTCAGCCTGGCTGGGTCTTCCTGCAGTCTTCCCCTCCTCCACAGGACACTCAAGCCAGAAGAAGGCTGGCCAGTGGGTTCTGGAGCCTGCCAGCACTCTGGGAACTCAGGGAAGGAGCTCCATGCAAGCCATGCAGTTCAGAAGACAGTGTGGTCAGTGGCTAGAAACTATGGCTGGCCCTTGAGAGCTGTTCCCATGGCCAAGACCACAGACGAGGCTTTCAGTTGCCTAGTTCCGGGCCTCACTGCCCAGCACCTCCTAAGTAGCAGCAGGGCCCTCTACCAGCACCACCTGGCTGTGATGGCACAGGCTTCTCAGCTCCCTCATCCTCTTTGCCACCTCCCGCTCCCCAGGCTCCGCTTGATTAAATGATGTTCCTGATAATCATTCAGGGATATGGTCTGGAGTCTAAGAAACAAAGATATCCCAGACCCAAAACCAAAACCAAACAACAAAAAACTTCCGCAGCTGGTATTTCTGATTAATAGCCCACACCTGGAAATTTGGAAGGACTGTCCTGGTTGGTGTGACCCAGGTTTAACCCATGCAGCTGATATAAAAGTGACAGCTTTACAGCCCTGTAAAGCTAACCAGACCTGTACATAGTTAAACAACCTTATCTAATGTTCCTTTTTCTTCTCTACATAAACTTGCTCATAATATCTAACACTCTTATCATGCATATTGTGTGCCAGACACTGTGCTAGTAGCTTATATCTATTAATTCATTTAATTTGAATTCAATTAGCTTTCAGGCACAACAACAACCCTATGAAGAAGTACTATTATTATCCATTGTTCATGGGTGACGAAATGGAGGCACAGAGAAGTTACGTAAACTTGTTCACGGTCACACAGCTAGAAAGGAGCAAAACTGGGATTGAAACCAGGTAGCCCAACTTTAATGTTTGTGCTCCAGATCACTTTATTACGCAGTTTCTGCCATGATTCTGGAGGAAGCTGATGTGTTTTGTTTTCCTCGACTAGTTCCTTTGCTAACCAGTTTATGATAAACCTGTGACATGTGCTCACAATCTAAAATGTGTCTGATATTGTCTTTAACAGATTAAAAATGACGAGATGAGAATGTGACCATACCCATGGAAAAGAAAAAAAAAATCCCGGAAGAATAAATCTATCATTCTTTGTCCGTTTCTCTATGTGGGTGGGCAAGGGGACACTGTCTAAGAGTGGGCGCAACTTGTTAAAAGATAAACTGCAGCTGAAGGTTGTTGCGGTTTGGGTTGATAGGTGCCCTAGCATAGCAAGCTGCCTGGGTGGGCTCAGAAATGTGGAGACACATCTGGTTTGCAGGGGTGGGGGTGGAAGGCTAAATTGCTACAAATGAGAATGGGAGAACAAGCATTTCAGACAGGGGTGGGGAGTGGAACCCAAGAAGAAGTCAGCAAGCTGTGACCTGAATGGGGTGTGGCAGGACAGGAAACAGCTGATGGGTTTTAAAATAAGAAAGCCAGCATTTGATTGGTCTGTGCTGCTTGTGCTTAGCTAGGATGTTGTTTTTCTCCTTCATCCTGACCTTAGGCCAAAGCCTATCACCGACACTGCTCTGTGCCAGTCCACTGAGGCGCTAAAGGTCTAAGGGCTGGGGAGGTGTAGGGAGTTCCAGCTATGGAAAGTGTGGGCATGGAGGCCATGGGCACAGGGTGAGCTGCTGAATGGGAAGTCTGCTTGGAGAAACATAAGCCACTCAGCCATCTTCAGAGTTACCAGAGAAGTCACTGGTTTCCTGCCAGTTGCAGGCTGGGCAATGCACTACGGTATCCAGCCAAAATGGCTTCTAGTTCCTGAAACCTAGCACATGTTCCGGCACTCTGGCACAAAGCTCTGTGTGCCCAGAGTGGTGCCTTTTCCCAATCCATGTAAGCTGGCAGCTACTCTGCATGGAGCCTCTGCTGAATGATAGAATGCTGAAGACTTGAGGCCTTTCAGGCAGCAGCCACTTGGGTCCCACCCACTCTCAGGCCTGAGCTATTGCTCTAGATTCTCCTGAGTCAGGGAACTCTCATCGGGCCTCTCCAGGCCTCATCCTGACTCCTAATGCAGCCTCCCATCTCTTTCTGGGGCAGCCCGCCTCTTCAAATGTGTCCAGTACGTGGGACCTCAAAGACACAGATATGCAGCCCACGATGGGAGTACCGAGTGACACAATATGAGAAATAGAGCATCTGAGTTTGCTAATTAGGGTTTTTTTAAAAAGAAGTTAGAGCAGACTCAAGGGTTTGTTCATTTATTTATCCCTTCATTCCTATTGTTTATATTGACACGTACACCAGAGATATTGGTTTTCTAATTTGGCCTCACAACATACTGTTGATGTAAGAACATCCAAACCTGTAGAGAATGTTTATGAGAGTTTAACTGAGTTTATTTGAGCCAAGCTGATGACATGCTGGGAAATAAGTTCTCAGATGCTCCAGCAATGATAGTATTGCAGTTCTTTTTATACATTTGAAGTTAAGGAGGGACCAAAAGGAAGATGACCTGAAAGTGGGAGAAAGAAGGCAGGGAAATCTCTATGATTGGATTACAGGATAGTTAACAAGATTATGTGCTCCCTCGAGGGTGGTTACGCCTGCCTCCAAGGGGTCTGAAAAAGAAGATTACTCCAGGCATTTCAAAGGTGTGTTAACCCAGAATGCACAAGGACAATGGATAGGGCTGGTTTAAGGCAAAGATAAACCTTTTATACGCCTGGGGTGTGACTACCCACCATGACTTGCCAGTTAGGAATTTATAATCAGATCACTCTTTGAGGTTACTTTCTGTTACTAACCTTATCGGATTTATTACAGAGCCCCTTTTTCATTCACAATAACTTTAGGTATTTTTATTCCCAAATTACTGATGAGGAAACTGAGGCAAGGGGTGGCTGGAACTCGACCCCCTGTCTGGATTGTTCCGGTCTTCCAGTTTGGTAGGGGTGGGGTGGTAGCAGCCTGGGCTCCAATGCCGAAGTAGAGGAGGAGATGAAGGGAACTGGGTGCCCACCCCTGTGAGTCATACGGGGCAGAAGAGGGGATTGTGAAAGAGAAGGCAGGTGGAGCTCAAACAAAGATGGGAAATAGGGAAGGAGGGGACAAGATGCCCTCAGTGCCTTACAGAAGCAGGTGGAGGCTAGACGGGGTGGGACAGTGGGAGAGTGGGAGATATCCAGCAGAAATCATCCTGCAGAGGTCTCCCTGCAAAATGTTATGGGACCACCTTGAGGGTGGGGTGGAGGAGGGAGGGAGTCCAGCTGGGTGAGCTAGGTATGCATTCATTCCTAGAGCTGTCCAAGGTGGCTGTTTGGAGTAGAGGGCCAGCCCATTCCTGGCAGGTGGGAATGGGTGAAAAAGTGAGGACTAGGTCAGTTGCTTTTCATTCAAGATCTTTTTCCTCCCCTCCACAAGAAGAAGAAAGGCATAACAGCTCCCATTTTAGAGATGAGAAAATGGGTCAGCCGTGTCCAGTGATTTGCCTGATGTTACCAAGTTAAGCTGGGTGCAGCCAGGATGCAAACTTGCCCTTTGCTTGTCTGGTGGAGGAACCTGGTATAAACCCCAAAGCAGTGGATGCTAAGGACAGGACTAGGGATAGGGGGACAAAGTTGGAGCAGGCATTGGTGACTGAACACCCTCACCCCAACACATGCCCTCCTAGCACCTCCTGATTCTGGTCCAGGAGGGAGAGGCTGGGGTCTTTTAGGGCCCTCCTGCCTTAGGTAACTAGTTAGTGAGTCCTATGGGCACACACAGAGGTTATGTACACCTTGGCATAATAGGCCTGGCAGAACAAAAGACAGTGTGAAAGAAAGAACCAGTGAGTGAGTAAATGAACGAATGGAGGAAAGAATGAACGAAGAGCCCTGTTTGTAGGTCTGTGTCGATCCAAGTGTGGGTGTGTTTCTGCATGGACACAGCCTTGTTCTCCTCTTGGGTCCTCTAAGCTCCTGGGCGTCTGGCCTGGCTGGGAGGGCTCCATTGGGGCCTGTCAGCGGGAGCACTGGGCTGGGAGTGAGAAACCCTAGGCTTGTTTGACTCCTGGATCTGCTGTTTCCTGGTGGTGAGACCTTGAGCAAGTCACTTCACCTGCCTTCCTCCTCTGCACAACAGCCTGCTAACCCATAGCTCAGGAGACTGCTGTCTACTATAGTCCACTAAGCTTCATGAATTGTCAGGCTCTGGACTGATATCGTCCTTGTTACAAGAGGAAACAGCCCTGGACAGAGTTCACAGGACGGGGCTGGGCAGGAGATTGAACAAGGAGTGGGGAGAGTAGAGGAGAAAAGGCTTCAGGCTGAGTGAGGGTTGGGGTGGCATATAATGTGGAGGCTCTTGGTTGTCCCAGGCCAGATAGCCCCTGGCACACACCGCCCTGTGCACCCTGGCTGCACAGCCCAGCTCCTGCTGGGTTCCTCATATTCATAGCTTTACTTATTCTGCTTAATTGTCCCATGAGGTGGGTAGCAATTATCTTAATTTTATACCTGTGTAAACTGTGCTTCAGGGAAGTGAAATGACCTGCCTACAGTAACAGAGCTAAGAAATAGCAGAGTCTGGATCTGAGCTGAGGACTGGGCATCAATCTTCCCCAGCCCCTCTAGCACAGAGTGTGGGCCCCCTGCCCTCCAATCCCCTGGCTCCAAAGGCATATTCTCAGGTTCAGGGGGGCCCTCATTCTGCTCTGTGAGGCCTATCTTGACTTGTCACAGGGTGGGGAGCCTGGCATCCTGGTAGAAGCATATCAGGTCACAGTGACAGTCATGACTCCCCAGGGACTGGCTCCCAGCCACAGCCCAGGGGAGTAGGTAGCACTCTACCCCTACTGACCCCTGGAGCACAGGGACAGCCAATCAGGGAGCCCCTCGAAGTCCATAGGGGTGCTGGGGAATAGAGGGGTTGTAGGGGTAGATGAGAGATGGCCCCTCTCATTCTGGGCAGGCTCTGGCTGAGAAATAAAAAGGGCTGTTCATGGGCAGAAGACATGGGATGTGGACAGGTGGGTCTCAGGAAGCTGGGCAGACCTTTCATTTCCAAGCCCAGATCCACTTCTTGGGTTTGCCAGCATTCCCTACCACCTCTCACAGCACCATAGCCAGCTGAGCAATGGGTACAGTCTCCCCACTTGCCCCCAAATGCCTTCACAAACCCTTTGTCCCCGAGGGCTTCATGCTGCCCCTTCTGGAAATAAACAAGGACCATGGCAGCAGCTCATAGCACCCAAGGTGTGGGTCATAGGAAGCCCCTGTGGACTTCTGGAGGGTGCCACTCAGAGGATCATCGTGGGCCAGACGGACCCTGCCGGGACAGCAGGAGCCCCTCTAATTGCCCACTGGAGATAAGGAGCCACGGAGTTTGAGTTCCTTTCCCTTAATCGAACAAACCCATCTCAAGAAGGTTTTTTGTCCCTAATATTAGGATTGTCTTGGCACATTTCCTGCTTATTGCCTAGGAATCAGGATAGGACTGGGGAATGAGAGGTAAGCTGGACTGAGCTGGGCTTGGGATAGCTAAGGGAGGGCTGGGAGCCAGAGGCATGAAAACAGGAGATGTTATTGGAAGGACTTGCCTGCCCCTCCCCTCCAGCATTGAGCTTTTAGAGGGAGGAGAGATGGGGGATGTGGTTTTGGCTTTCTGGGATTCTCACCTTGACTCACAGAACTCTTCCAAAGCAGGTAAAGCAGAGTTCGATCCAGCACTTTCTCGGGGTCCCAAGAGCTTCTGAGAAAGGAGAAAGAACATAGACTCCCTGAGTGCTTACTGCCTGCCAGGCCTGTTCAAGTGTGTGGAAACACTAGGCACTTGACCCTCACCGTGAACTTGGGCCAGGATTATTATCCCACTTGGAGTTCAGAGAGGTGAAGGGCCTTGCCCGAGGTCTCAGCCATGAATGGCAGGTTGTGGTTTGGGCCTGGATTAAGTGGCTGATACCATTTTTTCACCAGAGCATTCCTAAGAAGGCAATGCTCATCTTAAGGAAGGAGGCACTAACAGGGTGTTTCAGTGCCAGGACAGTGAGGCAGCAGTGGGACTTTTCTGTACTGAACTGGAGACTCACCCGAGAAGCAGGCCCTGCCCTGGCCACGCCTCTCCCCAGCTGCAGGCTATTTGCCTCTCCTGCAGCTGGGCTTGAGTTTCATGACTGACCACAGCCTCAGGTTGCCTCAGTCTTCAGGCCTCAGTTGGGGTAGGTTGAATTCCTGCCTGTCTGGGTCTCCTGTGCCATTCATACTTGTTACCAAGGCCTAACATGCTCTCCCTCTCCCCAAGCCTGAGCAGACCTTGATGGGACCCTCACTCCCCATCAAGACCTCTGAGCCAGTTCAGATCTGAGTCAGGGGAAGGGAGGCAAGAGGTGTCTTCTCTTGATGCTCACCTCCTGCCCCATGGCCTGGGCACCACTGCCACTAGCCTCCCACCCCCATAGCACTATTGCTTACCCCACATCCTGCCTCCTATTATCTCTCTGGAACCTGGGGGACATTACTATTATTGTCCTAATGTTAAAGGTGGGGAAACTGAGCTTAGTTAGGGGACATGTTGGCCTGCGCCTGACCCTAGAGCCACTCTGCTGTGCTGTGGCCTCACACACTCTCTGACAGTGCCTCATATCTCTTGCAGGAGGCCTTCTCTGCCCCTACCAGCCACAGGCCACCCCTACCCCACTCTACCCTCAGTGACCTGATCTGACCCCAGCTGGTTTTGCCTCCTTCCCTAGGGGACCTTGGGGACTTGGCTGTCCTCTTATCCTCCCCCCTGCCCATCTCCCTGATATCCCAGCCAATCAGGGGTCCCCAAATAAGCAGGGCTGCTGAAGAGGCGTGTGTGGGTGCTGAGAGATTGCTTGGAGAAGCCCTGTCCTGAGTGGGGCTCCTCTGCCTTCCAGTCCCTGAGGGGTTCCTCAGGTGGTGTCATTACCCTATGCTGAGAAATACACATCAGTGAATGCTGAGGGGCACCCATGGGTGCAGGGAGACTGACAGGGGCCTTGTAGACTGGCCCCTTGGCCTACTTGGATTTGTCCCAGCCTTAAGCTCTGATGTCATGGAGACCTCCAAAAACCCCTTCTCAGGGGAGCTGTGCAAAGGCAGACAGGCTTGATGAGGTGCTAATTACTGAGCTAATTGGAGCCAAGTGAGCTACAGATGGCCTGGCTGACAGGAGGTGGGGACTGCACAAGCAGAAGGCGCTGCCGTCAGAGTAAGTAGGGAGGCCCAGGCCTAGATCCAGAGTAAAGTGTTTATTTACAAGATTGATTTACTAGGGCTGACCAGCTGCCTTAAAATGCATCCTGGTCTCCTCCACACCATGGCCCTGGCCCTGGCCCTGATCCAAAAGGACTTGTGTTCTGAGGCCACACTTGTTGGAAGCGTTCATGGAGCACATGAGGGGCAGAATGCTCTGCTCTGGGGGAGCATCAAAGAGGATGGAGGCCCACTGCCCTATCCTGAAGCCTACTGTAGCCAAGGCAGACATGGGCTGGGTACCATTAGAAGCAGCCTATGAGAACAGAGGTGACGTCACTAAGCTGGATCATCTTGGAGGGGCTGGGGCTACCCCATGCCAGCCCTAGTCAGGGCCTTGGCCTGGGCTCTGTCCCTCTGAGAACAGTCCTGTGTGGCCTCCCAAAGGGGCTGGAGAGCCCAGGGAGATGGACTTGTAATAAAGGCCTCACAGATAGGGGATGAAACTGACCTCCAGACGGAGGGCAGGAAAATTAGTGAGCTCCACTTTGCTGCAACCAGAAAATGAACAGGTAGAACACCCTCTTCCCTCCATATTCTCCTCTTCGCAGCCTAAGGCCATACCCCAGGCCTCATCAGGGTATAGAGTGGTTGTCGGTCACACTGGCCTAGGTGTCTCAGCTCACCCCAATTCTAGTCCTATTGGCTGCCTGTGGCTTCTAATGGCATTCTGAACTCTTTAGTCTCTAGGCCTTTTCTTAGGCCATTCCCCTCACCAAACATATCTGTTCCTTTCTATCTAATTAGGTCCTCTCCGTTCTGTGGCCTCTGGTTCTATCTGCATCCCAGACTGCTCCTTGACCTTCTGCCTGATGTCCGCTAGCACCCACACCCCCTGTTCCTGCTCCTCCACATCCCTCGTGGGGCCCAGGACCCAGACCCAGGTCATTAGGAGAGAAAGCTGGGAAGCTAAACACCTCCCCAGTTGAATGCTTGTTCCCACTCTCCTCCTTTCCAGGATGCTTTCAGAGCTAGATGAGTTTATGGGTATGAAAGTTTATGAGTTTAATAACATGATAATAATTTTTAATAACAATTTTTAATAATTTAATAACATGATAATAATAATACTGGTTTAATAACATGATAATAATTTTTCCAATTTTATGAGTCCCCACTTCTGAGCCAGGCATTGTGCTAGGAACTTTTCATGCATATTACTCTCAGCAACCCTCCAGGGCTGGAGTTTTTATTATCTCTATTTTTCAATGAGGAAACAGAGGCTCAGAGAAGCTAAGCAACTAATCCAAAGTTACACAGCAATTAAGTGACAGTCTGGGGACTCCCAAGTCACTACTCTCACAATGGGAGGAAGGTTGTTATTATTTTTTTGCCAACCTTTTTCTTTCCTCCTTTTCCCTCCCTCCCTGCCTGTTATCCTCTGCCTGGTGAGCTTGCATCATTACTAGGGCCCAGGGGTCCAATTAGAGTTCCTTCCCAGAGGAACTGACTGAGGCAACCCCAGCCCCAAGGGGGCCTCTCTGAGCAGAAGTTTTAATTAGCCATCACTGCTCTTCCTAAAACTCTGACCCACCTGTGGGCTACACCAGCCCAGCCTGGCTTTCAGGCAAGACGTAGTAAGACTAGTGCCCAACCTAGCAGCACAGCTGAAGCCACCCCAGCATGGGAGAGAGGTGTGCCTAGGCCCCTGTCCCATCATATCTCCCTGGATCCACCTCAGCACTACTTTATTTAATACATTAAATGGATTATTAATAAAATAAATGAGTTAAGTGACTTATTTAAATGAATTTTATAAATTAAATGCATTAATATTCATAAAGCATTTAAAACAGTACCTGGTACACAGTAAAGGCTATATGAGTGTTAAATTTTTTAAAAAATCAAGTCAGCAGGCATCGAGGGAGAAAAAGGCAGGATGGGGGCACAAGGATATCCTTGGACATGAAGATAGCATGTTCCTGGGTCACCTGGCAATGCTGAGTGGCCCCTGTGTGGGCTGTCAGCATCTGTAAAGTTTGCAATCCTGCCCCTTTGCAGTGTGGGAAGTTTGGGGCCGAGTACACAGCAGGGCTTGGAAGAAGTAAATGAACTAGTGTGGAGAGTAGGCCCTGTGCCAGTCACTACAAAGAGCATTTTCTATACTGTGCACTGCCTTATAGGACAGGGGTTATCATCCCATTCTACAGATGAGGCAACTGAGGCTCAGACAGGCAATCATCATGTCCAGGGTCACACAACCATTGAGAGGCAGAGTAAGATTTAAACTCAAAGCCTAAGCCCTATGTACTGGAAATCTTACTCCTCATGGTCTACACCTCAGGTTACAGGGTGGCAGTCAGTAAGGCCACAGAGCCACAGAGCCCAATCCCTAAAGAGGAGAAAATGTCCCTCTGTGCTCCTACTCAGTCTTCTGGAAATCTGAGGGCTCTGAGCGTGGGTATTTGTGTGGAGGACCCTGGAGTCTCCTTTACTGGGGCAGGACTATGAGTCTAAGCTGAGATAATGACAAGGAGTATCTGAGGCTACAGAGTTGAGGCAGTTCCCCCACTCCTCCCTGGAGCTTCCCTACTGTGACCCTGGCCTCAGCCAGCCTTGCTCTACACCTCCCCCCTCATCAGCAGCCACTGTGCCAGCAGCAAGCCAGAGCGAGTCCTCCAACACCGTTGCCTGGTAACCAGCCCTAAGTGACGGAAACCCCAGAGGTCTGCTAACAAGGGAGAAGAGCCAACCACCTGGCCCAGACCCCACTGCCTCAGCTGGCTGGCCTTAGGAAGGCTTCCATGGACAGTCCACCCAGCCTGCCCACAGTAGGAGGGGAGGGTACTCTAGCATTGGGGAAGGGGGCCCCGGAGGGCCAGGAGGAGCCCCCCAAGACCTTTGAACTGGAGAGCTGGAGGAAGGTAATTCCTGATGGAGGCCAAAGGCCTACAGAAGCGAGGCGGACACTGGGCAAGAGTCAGAGTTGTAGGCACAGGCCACCCAGGCCCAAACCACTATCCTGGGAACAGCTGTGCTGCTGGCCCAGGGCACAGAGGCTGGGGGAGGGGATCCCCAGAGAGAGGCTCTAGGTGGGAAAAGAAAAGGAGGTGATTAGGGAGGCTGGCAAAAGTCCAGGCTCCGGGTAGGGGGAGCAGCCTGCTGCAACATTGAGCTGGAAATACATCAGCCTCTCCCCATTTCTTAGGGGCTCCCCCTCCTCTTCACACCCCCTGCCCCAGGCTGGGGGCCTCCAAGGATGGGTTTGCAGGCAGTATGAGGCATGCAGGTGGAGCTCAGCCAGGTGTTTTTCCATCCTGAGCCTGGGGGGTGGGATGGGGAGGGAGAAGCAGTGTCAGAGGTGCTGCCAGCCCCTGGGCATGCACCTGTCTGGGCCTCAGTTTTCTCACGTTGAAATAGGGGCTGGCCTGAGTTTTGGTGTTGTGGATCCTAAAGCTGAGAGGGCAAGGACAGGAGCTGTAAGGAAGCTTTTGGAAGCCAAGGCTCCTTTTAGGCTCTTATTACTGGGCCTGGGGAGGATTTTCTATCTTTCTTCCCTTTCAGATGTACAGCGTCCTCCTTCACCATGAACCCTGCACTCCATAACCATGGCCTGAGTCAGACCTGTGCTGGGCACTGGAGTCACAGCGCTCAGGAAGACGCAGGTCCTGCCCTGGAGGAGATCCCTTCACAGTCTAGTAAGGGAACCAGGATTGTAATCAGGCAATTTTAACACAGGGAGCTGCAGCTAGCACCAAGATGCGTTTGGAATACTATGAGGCCTCAGAAGAGGTGATCAAACCTAGCCTGGAGCTCTGGAAGCCTTCTTGGAGGAAGGGATGTAAGCTGAATCTTGAAGGCAGTCTGGAGTCAGCAAAGAAACAGCCGGAAAAGCAGCTGAGGCTAAGGAGAGCATATGCCAAAGCATGGAGGTGTGACCCAGCAAGGAAATTTGGCTGGCTCTGGGGAGGAGCTACAAGAGGCTCCGAGCTGGGGGTGACAGGGTCAGAAGTGGGCATTGAAAAGACCTCTCTGGAGGTAGGGAGGGGCTGTTTCCCACTGTTTCCAGTACCACAACAGACCTCCCAGTGGCTGGGCTCTGGCACAGCCAGAATGAGGGACCCTCCCCTGATTCAAGGTCCAGTCCCTATTCCTCAGACCTCTCAGGCCACAGCAGCCCCATCCCCACACAAGTGCATCTCACACTGAAAAGCCATGGGCTGTTTTCCATCTGCCTCTCTCACTGCACTGGGAAACAGCACCTGGGTCCCACTCACTGCCAGCATAAAGCCTGGGCATCTGCAATATTTGATGGAAGGAAAAATGGGAAGGACAGTCAATCCACCCCGGCTGTAAATTAATCAGAGAGTTCCCCCTTTCCTTGTAGGAAGGTCCCAAGATCCCAAAATTATTATGTGTGGGCTTTTATCTTTTCTTTTCTTTCTTTTCCCTCCCTCCCT